TGCGCAAAGCTGTAAATCCTCCCAGCATCCATACTGTTGAAAACCAAATTTTTCTTACGCTATGAGTTTCATCCACTTATGATCTTTCTGGTTCTTGCGGAACACCAATGGGGGAATCGAAAACACGCCTAAATAATATTATGAGAGGCATGTAAATTTCATTTTACCGTAGAGTTGAAATTCTGCACCCTGCCGATCAGAGATCGCGAAATGTGTGAGGAAGCAAACGCGAACTATTTAAGTTTCTGGTACTTACGTGTGCGTTTGTCAGCGTTCTTCGTAAGTTTATCGCGGTCATCAACGTTGATGGCCAGTTTGTAAAAATGGAATCTGCAGGTTCTGGAAAATTACGTCCCATCAGGCAGAGGTGTTTTTTTTGGGAGTGAGGAGCGATTACTCTGTTGGCAAAATGGTCCATGGTTTGTGCCACGGAACGACAGAAATGGCTGCCAAGAATTGCGCCACAGAACATTGCGGTCAACGGTGGGAGTTTATCGTGGGCTCCCAGTACGCAGCAGCCGTTTGCCGGTTGCAATCGGCGATCGGGTGGAGGCGACCTCTACGGCAAACAAGAGTTTATCTGTCGAGAAGCCACTGGCGTTATGAAAGTGACAGCGTGTTCGGGCAAGCTGGCGAATTGGTTTCCGAGTTGATCGGAAAGTCCAGGCTGCGCCATGATCGATAATAATTGAGAAAGTCTTATGATTTTAGATCGCTCGGCGGCGATGGCGGCAAGGCGAGCTGTGGCTGCGATGGGAGCTGTCGCGACAAGGCCGACTTCCAGGTCCAAAAAGCTGCACCGAACCGGGGCTCGCCGAAGGTGTCCTCCCCTTCCCGGGCTGACAATCCGAAATTGAAAATTGATTTTAAGGAATTCACATGGTGGAAAGCAAGGTCATGCTTTTCCTCCTAAAGTTGGTTTATATGATTCGCTTGGTCTTGATTTGTGTTTCTTGCCTTGGGGTTCGCTTATTCGTTGTTTGTTTCGAGCTCCATGCCTAAGAATGGTCCCGATATTTTTTTTTCTCCCCGACCCACGTTTCGATGTATACGTGTCGATGTTCGCGAAAGCATGGTGGCCAAGGTTGAACCCAGACCCTGGCGGTTGTCTGCATCGATTCTACTTCGAGCGAGCATATGTCAGGGGTCGATTGCAAATTGTCCAACTCTGTTTACGGTTTTAACATCCGAGCTGGTTTTGTTGCAAATCAGTGGAACCCATCTGTGGTCTAACCCAAACTAACCGATTTATCCCTGTGTTGAAACCCCAGGGGATTTGTTTGGGGTTATTCCCTCTATAAGTACCGAGCGAGGTCAGCCGAGGTGCGAGGAGCAAATATCTGAAGGAGGTGGATCTTAACTAAATTGCGAACAAACGAGGTGCACAATGATGGTTATGAGTGGTCCCACGTTATGAAAACCTTTCAGGGCCTAATGTATTATCTTTATTACTTTGTCAGAGGTGATTGTTAAAAATAACTTTTAGTCTCTCAAAGTTTTTTTTCTCATAGTCTTCCAGAGTCTTCCCGTAGCCTCTGTATTCTTCCTGGTAAGCCTCCTCTACACCCCTAGGTCTCATTGTTCCCCTGCAAATCCTCAGCAGCTTCCTTGATACAACAAAGGCTGCGATGGCGACCATGGCCAGGGTCACAATGGAAGCCGAATCCGATGTCAAGCTGTCATGGGATCCAGTGGCAAATCGGAAATGGTAAAAGATCCTTCTGGAGGTGTGTTTTATAAAAAGTCAAACGAACGAATGGAAATGGTACAGCGCAGGAAAATGAAGGTTGAGGAGCCCAACCATCGAACCATACCAGGCCGTATATCATTCCATGCATAAGTAAGATCTATACCCAGGACAATTGTATCGGTGTTTGCGAGCCAGCTGCCAAAGCCTTGTGGCGCATTTGTACTGGGACGCGGCGTTGTTGTTGAGAGCTTGGGGCTGCCAGCGTGAAAAATTTTGAAGGAAGTTGTTTTTCGTTAATTCCAGGCAGCTATCCGGCTGCCGTCTGGGGAATGCGAAACCATCTTGTGGCAGCTAGCGGCCGCAAACGTGCAAAGTAAACTTTTCGGAGCTTGAAAAGTGTTTCAGCGCCTCCAACGGCTATCCGCGTTCTGGACTCGTACTACAAAGTTGTGATTTTCGCGCTGGAGCTGCGGAAGCGTACTTTTTTGTACTTGGCTTGTACTACGAGTCGTGGAAGCGCGCTTCTTGCACTAGGTTTGTGCTACAAAATTGAGTTTTTCGAGCTGGAGCTGTGGAAGTGTACTGGAACGTGGCATTGGTGTTGGAAGGCTCGGGGCTGCCAAAGCGCAAAATAAACTTTTCGGAGCCTGAGAAGTTTTGCAGCACTTTGGGCAACGATCCGCGTGCTAGACTTGTACTACAAAGTTACGATGTGACGAGGGATTTAACGAGTTGACGAGGTGACCACGGATTTGACGAGGTAAGATTTATTGCAAATTGCCTAGATTCCCTCCTTCCCTGCTGAGAAGTAGCAAGTCCCTTGTTGGGCATACTGAACCCTACGTTTAGTTGCAACATTTCAACCCGAACTGAGTAGTTCACCATAGAGGGAGGCTTGAACTGGGAGGGATGCCAGCCGAGGCTCGCATGGTTTCCCAACTGCGGTCAACCCTTAGTCCATCGATCCGTCTCTCTAGTCTTGAGATTCCGGAAGACTGACATCCCACACGTAGTGTTGAGAACCCGCAAGAACCACTTTAATGAACCATGGTATCACAGAATGGAGCCCGACCCTTTAAACGTGGGGCGTCATGCACAAACATGAAAGTTGGGCTCATGGCCCCATTGTTTGCCCGACTGCATGATAGAACCGTTTTTTTTGTTTGTTTTTTCTCGGGCAACCAAACCCAATGATTCCATTTCCCTGTATGGTAAGTAATCATGGCAACCACCCTTTCAAACCCAAGAGCAGAATGGATCTAAGGGTTACCTACTGTGGCGGAACGCCCAGGGGGATCCGCTACAGGCTTGCTACGAGGGTGATGTAAATGATATTTCGGCAATGGCCCCATTGCCCAAACCGGGTTTTCTAAATAAGGGAAGCCAAAAGAAACCAACGGCCATGCGCCAAAGTTGGAACATGTACTGCTTGCAGTATGTTCGATAGGATCCAACCCCCAGGGATGAATCCAGACACCATGTGTGTGTGTGTGTGTGTTTTAAGGTTGGACCCCCCCCAAAAAAAAAGCAAAAAACAAAAACGTATTTTTTGGTTTTCGTTTAGAATCACCGAACAAGTGGTACCAGCTCCACAAAGAGACGAGCAACGGCTACTTGAGCCGAGGGTGTACTTCTTCTGGCTCTCCCTCATCTCCGTCTTCGCCGCCCTGCTGGGGGTGAGTATCGCCCGGCTCGGGCCACCCGATGCCTGCAAGGTCTTCACTGTTTGCTGTTTGTGCGTTGGTTCTGTTGGTTGTTAGTGAGGGTCCGCAAGCAAACATGTTTTTCTTTCTGCTACCACACCAAGGTTTGGGCAAACAAGTTGTGAGGATTATTTGCTGAACGTTACATAGAACCCTCGCTTTGTTCGATGTTTGGGACATTGTCGTTTCCAGACCCTGTAATTTGACGGTACTTGCCGCTTGACCAGATGTTCCTTTTACCCCCCTCCACCTTTCCGCGGGAAGTGAACATTGTTCCCTCATGAAACCCCACGTTAAAAGTGGGACAAAGCACCAAGGAACTGGCGCGAAATGGATGTTGATCAGGGCACTTTGGGCCTGAGGGCCATGGGATTGGATTGTTGGCTCCCCATGAAGTTCTTTGCTCAATACATGGTTGTTGTTGGGAAACATTTTTCCCATTTTTGCTTATTGTGGTCCAACGTCAACCAAGAATAGTTGCTCGCACTTTGCCATGGTTTGGGTGCGATAGGCAGGGGATGAGAAATGGAATGAACCTAGGGGTGCCCTTAAATGCAAACCACAAGTGAGGGTTTTTCGAAGGGGTCCTTCCAACTCATTCCCTACTGAGCACCGGCAAGTGTTTCAAGCAATGGATGCTAGCACTCAACCAGCCCTATATGGCTGTGGGTCAACACCAATAGGACCATTTTGGGGTAGGTCGCCGGTGCGGGGTTTTGACCCACAGCCATATGGTTCATATACATGGTCGAACAGCATGCCTGTGGCCCGTCATCGGTAAGGCCCCCTTGTGGCTTGGGCTTCCATGGAAGAAGCCGAATAGTGGGGACCTGGTTGAGTAAGGGGGGGATGTCCCTTCAGGAAACACCAGCCACCGGGTTGGCTGGGTGCTACAAGAGGGGGTCACGACCAAAAGCAAAACCGTATATTTGTCCCCTTTTGGTTTCCTTTGGGGGAAATCCACAACAATGTAACAATGTATTATTTAGCCCCCCAGTTGATGAATCCGGAGGTGTCATTTTGGGGAAATCAGCAATTGTGTGCTTTTTAGCCCGGGCGACATGAATCGCAATCGTGGCTCCGTGTTCCGGCCCAAGTGTCCAAGACGCAATCTTTGCACGGCGTGGGTTAGTTGGTTATTTGGATTCCCTGTTCACTGGATGGTTAGTTGGTTAGTTGGTTAGTAGCAAGCTCGTCAGGGAAATGAGTTAGTGATTCTTAAGAAGTTGGTGCTTGAGCCAGTTGTTACCTCGTTTGCGAATTTGTGGGGTACCTGGACCATGGGGAAAAAAAAAAGACCGTTTGAAGGGTAGTTTGAGACTCCAGCCCTTGATCTTGGGGTTGGGGAAAGGGAAGAGCCAAATTTCAAAGTTCGGAGTTCCAATGATGGTCCAAAGCGTTTTCGGGGACTTGCATGGCTCCAAACCCTCTGAAACGTCCAACTCAACAGTGCCACTTGGAGCTGAGACCCGGTTCCACCGCCGCCAAATGTATGAAAAGGGGATTGGAGCGTCCCCAACAAAACTAACTCCAGACGTTGTCCTGCGGGTCATCTGTGCGGGTGATGGGTCAAAATTAAGCAAGCAGGGGACCGCGCCTTTTTGGTGCTTGGTTCCATTTGACTGGGTTCAACTTTGGGTACATATTATTTGACCCATTCCCAGTTGTCCTAAGTGCGGTTTGAATGGAACTCACGCGCCTCCGAACAGCATCCGGCTGAGGCGTTTGTACAGCCGGCTGCGCGTGGGGCTGATTGGGTGGGACAAAGGAAGATCAGTCGAGCTCAGCTGAAGCGTCCCCCCGGCCATTCGAAGGTGTTCTTCCTCTTGGTGAGGCGATGTCTCACTGGAAATGAAATATATAAGTAACCCTGATTTAACGGAAGAAGCCGATTCAAAGGGGTGGAACCTTTCCACTAGGAGATCCATAGAGGTTCGAGCTTTGGGTATCAGTGTACCAGCTTGAGTTTCATCAGAAAACAAAAAAAACAGGGCTCCTTAAAAGATCCATTTTGCCACCATTTGAAACATCTTGCTTTTCCAACACCAAAATACAGTTGGACACCACCAAATAGACCAGTTGCAATGTTCAGGTGTTGTCATGCATCCGGATCCCTGCAATGACCTGACGAGCTGCGTCGAACTCCGGGCCTCGGCTGCGCGGACTCCGGACTCGCGAGGCCTGTGGCTCACAGCGGACGCCGGACTTCAGGTCTTCAAGCGGACCCTCATGTCTGCGGCGCTGGCTGGGGGCTCGGCAAAACCCCGCGGCCAGTCCGCAGTCCGGTGGTTTGTTGTTAGAGGTGGGGGGGTTGGGAGTTGAGCTCTGGGTGCTTTTTGAGGCTGCCTTTTTTCATGGAAAGCCTCCAAGCCAAGTGGGGGGAAGCTGATGTTCTGTGATGAGATAGAACTCCCCCTTCAACTTGATACAGTGCAGCCTGAAAAGAGAGTTCTGTTTGTGTGTTTTGGATTGTTCCAGTTGAAGATTCCTGTGGCATGCTGGTTGTTGTGCCTGGCAAAAGGGACATGTGGATCAGATGTCGAACGATTTGGAAGCTGCTAGACCTCGGGATCTGAATGGCTGCATGTTGACATGCACGCGAGCCGAGCCCAAGCCACCAGAAGATGGGGGGAATGGGGTTTCTAACTAAAGTCTCAGGGGACGCAATGCCCAGATCCCAGTGTAGTTACCTAAAAGTAGATAACTCTTCGCCAACCGAGGTCTCAGCTAGCGCTGTGGGAGGCTCAGTTCAATTTCACAGCTCAAGACCGATTGGGTTCCAATTCCTGTGGGTTGCAATAGATTGCCAAAGTTTCCTCTTTTCGATCCAATGTTTCCTCTTTTCGCTGGTTCTAACCATCACCCTTCAGGCCAAATCAACGTGGATGTCCTTTTGGTGGAGTTTTTTCACAGGTTCTTTTGGCGGACATCCAGCGTTTGCATGGTGCTTCAAACCTCTTGGTTGACTTGATTCCATGGCTGAGTTGTCGGGAGGCTGTGGATAACCTTTATATATCCAATTCGGGCTACGAACCAAACGTCCGTGGTTTCTCTCTCTGGGCTTGGCGGCGCACATGCTTGGCTGAACGTCAAACTCCTTGTTCTCTTGCGGGCGTGTGCCAAGGATCGCCTCAAGGTTCACTTGGGGTCTCCTCCAAATTCGACAAGTTTAGCTGGCTAGGCTTAAGGGATCGCAAACGAGCAGGAAATACTTATTAACGGGCAAGCGGAAAGCCAGCCAAATGCAGGGTAATTCTAATCACCAGCGAGTTGGGGTAGACAAAATATAAGCCTAGACCCGCAAGCTACTCTTAAAAAAAACCAAACAGAAAACTAACCCTGAATGGTTTATCATGTTTTGGCATTTTTTATTGGTGGTTTTCAGGGTCCATGTAGAATGAACCAGGGCCCTTTCACCCTTCGCTGGTTTCCATGGTAGAATTTCTGGGTGTGTCTTCAATGAGGGGACGCCCTCCTTGTCAAACAGTCCGGAAACAGACCCGGTTGTGACTGCCCGCCCAGGAAGCGAGTATCGATCATGCAAGATAGAATAGGTGGCAAAAAATACCAACTTGGAACATCCACATGTTTGAGTAGGGTTTCTATTTGTTTAGATCCTCGTATTCCAGCCCCCTGTCGGACATCAGGTGTGCATGCTGATCCTCAGTATCATCCAAGCTCTGGTGGGTCGGTACTATCCATGGCCCGGGACTCAGGCCATTGGCTGGTTCCATGTACGTGGCTCCAACATAAATATTTGCATATGTATATATATATATATGTTATGGAAAAACACTGTGTTTTTGCCGTCCTTTTATGAAGAAAGAAGGAAAGGTAGTTCATGGGGGGGGGGATGACCATACATACACATGCATACGATGGACTAAGTATGAGACAGAATCAAAACATACGTGTGCCATGCGTACCCCCTTTTTGTGGGCCAAGTTACAGGGAACCAACAGGTTGCGCAAACAGTATAATTAGTGTATAATATGTTGGAAAAATGTAGGCTCGCCTACCAGCCAGAAAACATGACCCTTGACTCAATGGAGCTGTTCGGGAAATCAAGTCACCATTCGGGGGTGCGTTGCGGGGTTTTGCCTGAAGATCCCCACCTGATGTTCTTCAGGAAATGCTCAAGTGGCTTGAATTGGTGGTTTGGTGCTTTCCTTCTTTTCCCCTGGCACAGTGCCAACAATCCAGCGGGGCCTCTTTAGTGAAGAATTCGGGGTCCGGGTTCGACTTGCCAATATTTGATTGAGTATTGCCAATTCTAAATTTAGTATTGCCAAGACTTACCGATTTCCAGTACTTTGGCCAGTTTTCTAAATGTCCAACATTAGGCGTTGACCTTTGAACTGGGAAGAGCTTAGGATGAATGACCCTTTGAAAGCATGGCAACGGTTGTGATCTAAGAGCTTGTCCTCACCCCAAACAAACAACAACAACAAACGGAAACAAACACATTCAAGCAAACCAAGAAACAATCAGATAAGAAGCAGAACCAGGGGTCAGGTAGTGGTTTGGTCTTGTTCTTTAGAAACAAATCGGATTGATACAAACATCGGTGGGTTGGGGGCGACTTTAGAAACCAGGAATTCCATTTTTTTTGCCTGGACGATTGCTCCTTTTTATGGCCTGGATTTGTTGCCCGTATTTGATTCCGGCAAAAATCACTTTTTTCAAATCGAACATTTATAATAGCGAAGCCCTATCTTAAAGCGGTCCCGGCATAAACCTCCAAACCACCAATCCAATTCAAAGGGAGGCTGCTCGAATGTGCATGGCGAACCCTTGGACAAGCTTAGATCGTGGCCCCGGTTTCGCACAGCGGCATCGGATGGGCCGGTTCGGTTTTGGCTTTGGTCTCTTCCCAGATCCGCTCGGGGACTTGGCTTAAAAGCCGTGGGTTTGCTTTTTTAATACATGAATGAACAAACTTACAGCATGTGGCGTGGATTGATCCCCTTAGCCGTGTGGAAGAATAATGCACGAACATGAGCAGATGATGCTTTCCTATGACGAGCAAACCCCTCAAGGTTGGCAAACTCATTGCCAGGGTTCCCGGGCTTCGACCGTTTCAGCGCTGGCCTCGACTTGTTTGGCAACAATCCGCGGGGTGTATTCCCTCCAAACCAACCAGGGGTTCCCTGGAAAGAGACACCCCTTGTATAGTTTGGACAGTCCATGATGAATTTGAGAGGGAGAGGGTCTTACTCATTGATGCACGCGCGGAATTGATTCGTAAATCTCCCATGTCGATGCATGGGCTGACCCTGGCTCAGATTTGCCCCTTCTATGACCAGCTCACAAGGTGTTTAGGGTTTTGGAAGTAGACAACTTGCAGATACACAAATGACAGACGTCCAAGATATTTGGATGGAGTGACAGATGGAATGAACGATGACACAAATGAAATTCCATCATATCCCATTGACTTTCTGTTGGTGTGTGGTGACATAGATGGAATAGGCGGCGACTTCAAAAAGACCCCCCTGCTCGCCCACTCTCCCGAAATGCTTGCGGGATCTGATCACCTGTGCCAGCTGTGGAGCCTCCAACTTGAAAGGGTGGCATCAACTGGTTGTTTTGTCCGGGGGAGGTCCTACCGCACATATGAAACCTGACAGAGGGCCCGTTTTGACCGTATTCCTTCAAAGGGAACCTGGGCTCCGTGGACCGGAGGGTATGCGTGTTGTCTTCAGTGGTAGCATACCCTCCATCCACTAAGAAAATATCTGCGGCCAAATTTGGCCGCCCAATTTGGTGGGGTCAGATGCTGGATTGCACACAAACCAAATAGGGTGCTCCTAAAATCCGCCATGATTTACAGAAGGCTCTTTTTTTTGGAGGCCCTATGAAAACACATTCTGCTTTCGAACTGGGGGCCCCGAGGAGCCCGGGCAGTTCTTTCTTGGCTTGCTCTTTGCGCATGTGGTTTTTGCAAGAATGTTTGGGACAGCCTTGGATTTTAGCCAGTAGCGGCTTGGTTGGTTGGTTGGTTGGTTGGTTGGTTGGTTGGTTGGTTGGTTGGTTGGTTGGTTGGTTGGTTGGTTGGTTGGTGGGTGGGTGGGTGGGTGGGTGGGTGGGTGGGTGGGTGGGTGGGTGGGTGGGTGGTTGGTTGGTTGGTTGGTTTGTTGGTTGGTTGGTTGGTTGGTTGGCTGGTATGCTCAGTGACTTGAGGCCTTGCTTCGATTGCTGGGTCTTCGGGCGACTGCTGGAGGCGCTTCGCTTCGACGAAAGTGGTCCTTTCCAGTGGGCCACTGACTGAACTCAACTGGTCTTGTCTCAGAATGAACAAACAATATCAGTGGCTGGGTACCCTACTGTCCACTGTACAACCCACCAGAAGGTCCCTTTCATGGGAAAGCAGTCTTCCAGGACTCCGAAACCGCAGGTTCCATATTCGCACACAGGATCCCAGGAGGGTATTTGCAGGTTCCCTCAAAGACACCGCACGTGGCCAGACTGGACTCACTTCTTTGCCTTTTGTCTCCCTTTTGGTTTTCCTTTGTGGTCCCTTTTGACCAGCAAGTTGTCACTTTTTGCAATCGGATCAGTCTGGCCAAGGGTATTTTATCTTGAGAAGGACAGAAGGGGCAGCCCCCAAATTTCCCACAGCAAACCCGCCCAATTGTCCCATCCTTATGGGCGCGTGATTTGGGAGCCGCACGAAAGGTTCCTTCTTGGGGTCCCATTTTCGGTTTGCTTTTGGGAAGACACGCGTGTCTTTATATTTGGGTGCCCATGTGTGGTATCGGTATAGGGCACCCCAACAGAAACCACCCTGTTTAAATTAAGCGCTGCCCCATTTGGGCACAACCCATACGGATTCCCATTTTGTCTATGGTTCACTAGGCAGGCACATGAGGGACTCACCAAATTCCGTACAAAAACGGGGGGGGGGGGAGACACGTGTCCTTTTGAGTTCGTTCAGGAGAGAAGAATTGAATGAATGGAGAAGGATGAGGGAGGGAAGGGTCACGCAACGTGCTGGTGCTCAGCAGAAAATGAGAAACGGAATGACCCTAGGCCATCCAACTGGTGGTTTCCTTTCAGGGGACCAGGTTCATTCCATTTCTCATCCTATCGCACCGACAAGTTAAAGCTCGAAGAACCGGATTTTTTTTCTAGGGCACCGCGCGTGTTTTGCCAGACTTATCTGCCATTTTCAATGGCCCAAACCAGGCAGAAAAGGGGAAGGGGGGGTTCCAACTCCCAAACCAAGGGAAAGACAAACGGGGGTTCATGGATCCTGCAAAATCTGGTGGCTTTTGCGGACGGACTTTTCGACTATCCCACGCAAAACCTGGTGGCAACCGAGCCTTGGGCGCCAGTTTCTGTACCTGGTGATCATGCTCAGCGCTTTGGGCCGAGCGCAAGAGCGGGCCCCGAACCTGGCAAGGCTGGAACCTCGGATTCGGATCGGTTTCTTTGGAGAAAAACGAGTCGCTGGAAGATGTGTGTGTGTGTGGGTGGGTGTGTGTGTGTGTGTGTGCGCGTGTGCGTGTGCGTGTGCGCGTGTGCGCGTGTGCGCGTGTGCGCGTGTGCGCGTGTGCGCGTGTGCGCGTGTGCGCGTGTGTGCGTGTGTGCGTGTGTGCGTGTGTGTGGTGTGCGTCGTGCGTGCGTGTGTGTGCGTGTGCGTGCGCGTGCGTGCTGGCGTGCGTGCGTGTGCGTGCGTGTGTGCTGTGTGTGCGTGCGTTGTGCGTGTGTGCTGCGTGCGTGTGGTGTGTGTGTGTGCGTGTGTGCGTGTGCGTGGTGCGTGTGTGTGTGCGTGTGCGTGCGTGTGCGCGTGCGCGTGCGCGTGCGCGTGTGCGCGCGTGCGCGTGCGCGTGCGTGTGCGTGTGCGTGTGCGTGTGCGTGTGCGTGTGCGTGTGCGTGTGCGTGTGCGTGTGCGTGTGCGTGTGCGTGTGCGTGTGGGTGTGTGTGGGCATGCGTGGGCATGCGTGGGCATGTGTGGGCATGTGTGGGCATGTGTGGGCATGTGTGGGCATGTGTGGGCATGTGTAGGCATGTGTGGGCATGTGTGGGCATGTGTGGGCATGTGTGGGCATGTGTGGGCATGTGTGGGCATGTGTGGGCATGTGTGGGCATGTGTGGGCATGTGTCTGTGTCTGTGTCTGTGTCTATGTCTGTGCCTGTCTCTGTCTCTGTCTCTGTCTCTATCTCTGTCTCTGTGTCTGTGTCTGTGTCTGTGTGTGTGTGTGTGTTTGTTTGTTTGTTTGTTTGTTTGTTTGTTTGTGTTTGTGTGTTTTTGAGGGGACCATGTTTTTGGTGGTTTAAAAGGGAAACCTAAAGGACCACCATTTTGGGAGTCCCCCACTCAACAAACACACACACACCCGTATGGGTGTGTCTTTTTTTGGAATTGGGTTCCCCAAAAGGTTGGTTTAAAAAGGGGGTTGAAGGCAAACCACCCATTTTGAGGGTTCACCTATTTTGACACACACCCACATCAGACTCCCATGGCTTTGGCGATTACCCCCGGTTCAAGCCACCAAACAAAACCCAAAATTGTAGGATGAGATGTGGATAGACTTATGTTGATGTCCACCCTGCCAATTCGCATGCGACCTTGACATGGGACCCCAAAAGGGAGTGCAAAACGAGGATCATCGACAATGGGTTCCATGTTACTCAGCTTCCCTTCCTGTTGTTCCTCTTGGTTTCACAAAGCATATCATGCTTTGTCAGGGTCCTGGAAGATCAATGTTCCACCAGTAATATTACTTTGAGACACCAGCCACCCAACGACAATACGCCATTGCAACAAAGGCCTTGAAATTAGCCTCCGCACTTGGAGGCGTCCGAATCTCTTGCTTTGGATGGTTTCCCAATGTTGTTTACCAGAGCTCCCTTTCCAAGATGGCTTTCGCTGCCCCCAAGCCATCCCAGGGGGAAAGCAACTTGTACACCCTTGATTTACGCGGTGGCTATATGGGGTTCGGGTCAAGATTGAACCAGGGACCGCAGGTTCCAGTCCGTGTTTCCATTTACCAGGGTTCCGTTTTGCTTACCTATCTTTCACCCACACTCATATAGTGACTCTGTAGGGGCTACAACGGGCACCCGCGGACCCTTTTGGCACAAAGCTTTGGTCAAAATTTATGGGACGAGAGGGCGACCATTTGCCGTGAGGTTTTAAGTGCCTTCTTCAATAAACATGGGGGTGACTCCTTTCTTCACTCATACCCATGCTTGTTGAACAAACATATTTTGGGGTAGACGAGATATGAACTAGAAAATCAGAGCGTACTAGCTTCTGTGCCCCATGTTTGTGGGTCGAGTCTTTCCTTTGGACGAAAAGACTGTTAATTTGCTTTGTTATTTTGGTGTGCTTATTGAGGGTACCCATTTTGGGGGTTTTGCTAGTGGAAAGCCAACATTTGTAGGGTCTCCTCCAAACATATATGATATGGGGTTACATTCCCAGATGTGGATAGTAAAATATGTGTAGAAGAGAGTGAGAAAGTATGTTTTTCTTTGTACCCATGGTACAGTACCCCTCTTTTTTGTGTCTGATTTTCTGTACCCGCTTTTTTGGGGGGGCCAAAATTTGGGTCCAACATTTTGGCGCAACTGGGTTGCTCCGCCAGTGTCACTGGCGGCAGCACCGCGGCGAGGGGCAGCAGCTTCGCGCGGGGGCCCAGGAGTTGAAGACGTATCGCGAGGATTGGCACAAAATGCGGTTTTCTAGGGGTTGATTCCTTTTCCATTCTTTTCAACCATCGTTCTTTCCAATAACCAGCCGTTTCCCCTGAATTTCTGATGGTTTTCTAGAAAGAAGGATTCCTGGAAATAATGGGCAAGGTACCCCTAGAGGTTTGGTCGCAAAAGCGGATATGGACCCCTCCAACAAATGTGTATATGTGTGTCTGTGCATCTTTTCCCCTTGTCAAACCCTCGGTTTCGGTTGGGGGGTGGTAAAATGCGTTTGCGGATATGGAGCCCTCCAACAAATTTGTTTGTCTCCAAAAAAGACCCACCTAAATGAGTTGTGTTTAAGCAACTTGCACAACCGCCTAACTTGCCGAACTTTCTCAACCTCAAACCAGGGTTGGGCAAACCGTGTTTAAACTTGGCACCTCAAGAAAACCGAAAGGATGATGTTCAAACAACAGGTCTTTAAACATGTTACAGGGGATTGACCCCCACGTATATGGGTGTGTGCTTTTATAAGGGTACCCGTTCTTGGGTTGAAAGAAAAGCAAGGCAACTCCATTTCAGGGTGCCCCTATTTTGCCACATACTCCTTTGCCCAACCGGTGGCAAGACACCGAGGGATGCCTCGTGGTTTTGTGGGGGGTGTTGGGGGTGGCCCATGGCGAGCTGGAGCGCGAAAGCGGTCAGCGCAATGCCTGTCTAATCCTGGCATCCACATACCTTTCCCAAGATCCCCAAGGGTAGGATGTCAAGCCGTCACAAAAAGAAGGTATTTTACCAAGGAGAGCCAGCTTGTTTAAAAAGCCCCCAGACAAATGGGTATGTGGAGTGAGGATACTCACAATTTCTGCAGCATTTGCCCGGCAACATTGCCGCCAGAGGTCTTGATCGCTTGCCTTGGAGTTTCTTTGGTATGAATTTTGTTTTCCAGAGTCCCGAAAATCATTGTTTGGGTATTCTCTTGACTTGAGTGTAGTTGTAGATGAGGGTATTTGTGAGCAAATTTCTCAGCTGTTGAGGAGCATCCGCTGACCCCAAACCACCCTTGGAGAAGTGGAAGGTAGTTGAAGGGTCGGTCATTGCTGGTTCTGGGTACCCCTCTTCAAGACTCACATGGCATGCGGTTGATACTTGTAGGTGATCCGTGCAACTCGCTGACTTCAAGTTGCCAGCAAACTTCGACCCACTTGGCTGTGAAACTTTGGTTTGATACCGGATCTGTGGTTTGTTTGTGAACAAAGCCACTTTACCCCTTGTCAAGAGAACCTTATTGGATGCATGCATGGGCCCGCAAAGCCCTTTAATGCGGGTTGTTCTCTGTGTCCAAACGAGGATTCGGCAAACAAGTTGAGACGGATTGTAACCTTTCCTGAGAACCGGATCCGGAAGCAGCCACCCAAGAAAGGACAATTGTTCGATAGCCCAGTTTGGTTGCTCTGCAAGTTGCGGGCGCATTGATCTGGAACCAAAATCAACCTCCAAACACGGATCTGTGTGCTGAATTGCTTCCAATCTGCGTGACGTCTGGACAAATTGTAGCGATCTCAAGGGTTTCGGATTGGAGCGGTGACTGGGGGAACCATGAGGGCATGGCTCAAAATTTAAGAGCTAGGGTTATGTAGGTTTTAGTCTTTGGTCCCATTTACCAAGGCGCCATTCTAGTACATGAGCCACAGCCATGAGTCAAATGAGGTTGAAGCTGATTGCTCACCCATGAGTCTACCATAGGTGTCCTTTTTGGTTGTTGTGCTCGAAAAATAGATGGCGATTCCTGGTTTACCTGGTGGTTTAATCATCTACCGGGAAACCCATCTATCTACCCCAAAAGGACACCTATGCATTCTACTTTCAAGCTTCAGCCTCTTCCGCCGCTGCCCCAAACCAAAGCAGCCCCAGAGCTCAGCCATGAGGCTGATAGCTTCATGAGCACAGATGCCCCGGGATGGGAGGCCAGCAACGGCCATGGTAACATGGTGGCGCCAACGGTTTTTCTTGGTAGCTTCCTGTATTTGTGCATGTCTTAATGTAGGGGGACCCCCCGGTTTGGTTTTTTTCTGGTTTTCCTTTGAGCCGAGGCTCAAAAAGGGGAAGTTTCAAAAAGGGCGCCTTGGAATTTGCCTGTTTTGTGGCGAGCTCACCGATTCAGGGCATGTGGGTCGCTTTCTCGGGGATCCCTTTATGTGGGGTTTGGAATCGTTGTAAACTTTGCAGTTGAATGCTACGGGATGCCGAAAGAGGAAACCAAGACACGAGCTCATGCTGAATGCCCCGTACTTGGGGTTCCTTATTTCCTGTTTCCCGAATCATAGTTCGCCCATCCTGCAACCACCAGGAGTCAGCTTCCTATTCCGGAAATGAATGAAAGGTTGACTCCAGATGTGGCTTTTCATCCGAAGCCTTTGGAGAGTCATGGCGCAAGACACCGCGTAAGAAAGCGTCTGAGGGCGTCCTAAGGTTCGCTTAGGCAAAGCGCCCTTCGCCCTTTCCGGGTTGAAGACATCGGATGGCTAGGTCCAAACCTCCTGAATTTGAGGCCAAAGGTCCAGGTTGGCCGCCTTGAGCTGGGCTTTTTTTTGAAAAAACGACTCAGACCTCACCCAGTGGCAAGCTCGCCGATTCCCTTCTATGTCCAATTTGTTATGTCAGCTTGCTTGAGGTTTGATCCTGACAGCCCTGACGAAGGGGATCTTGGGTAGGATGGAGCAAATCCGCTTCTCACCAGTTGGGATGAACGAAGCCCTATGAATGGGACACCCCACCTATCAAGTGCAAGAGTTCATCCATCGGCGTGACCACATCTTCGAAGGGTCATACTTGATCGGCCAAAGTTAGCAAGTGGTCAACCACCTGGGCTGTTTGTGGGTTGCCTCGGCTGAAAGGGGGACTTAGTGGGTTATAACATAGGTCACCGACAACTTACGTTGGCCGAACACCCAAGTCTAGCACCCCTTCTACTTAAGCGTAAAGCCCTTTGTGTATTTGCCCATCTTGCAGAATTTTCCTGGAGCTGTAGGGTCGTTCTGGAGAGTCTCATACAAACTTCCTGTCCCTGCTGGTCCTACGCGCCAACCGCCCCCCCAAATAAACAAACAAATGGCCGTTGCGTCCTACCTGGTTTCTTAGGCGGTCAGAGAAAGGCTATATAACATTTATGTGAACAAATGGTTTCAAATGAACTTGACCCAAAAAACAGGCCAAAGAAGATCTGTTTCGCCAGGATTTTGGGCGCCCCAAAGGTTCGGACTTTGGGCGCTCCAGTCTGTGCCCCGCGGCTCCGATGGCTCCGCTTTCGCTTTCCTATTCGGCGAGGCGCTCTGGATCAGCCCCCCGGCGCCGGCCAGGCGCTCGGAGGCCGTCCAGCGGATCCGTCGGATTCGAAGATGGCGGGGGCGGCCGATTAATGGGGGTCGATCTTGGAGTTTTCTTTTAAGCTTGCATGTCAGAATTGAGACAGCTGACCGCAACATGCGGACGTGGCTTACCGAAAGGAAAGGAAAGGAAAGGGGTCGCGAAAGGTGACGCCTGGAAACAAAAAAAAGACGTAGCAATGGCAAGCCAGCTTGGCAGCATCTCATCTTTTCGGGTAACTGGCACCGAATCAGGGCAACGTCTAGTCTTTTTGGGTAGAGGGTCGTGCTTGGATGAACATGGCTCTAGGGTTTCAACCACCGAATCGGGGCAACATCTGAGCAAGCCACCGAATTGGGGCAACATCCAATCTTGCTTTCGGGTAGAGGGCCCAGGTGCTTGGATGAACATGGCTTGGTTTTGACTCACCAGTGCTCCCCGCAATGCCAAGCGGCACCGAAAGGCCACAAAGGCCCTTGGCAACAGCGTCGATAGAGCTTCGAAACCCAGATGCAAGCATTCGAAATCGGTGGCTTTGTTCGCATTCGAAAGGGACCCATGTATGATCGAACCCATGGCTGAAGCTGTTAACTTGTACTACACGACGTACTGTGCTGATTGCTTTTCCCTACAGGCGCAATTTGCGCCTTTGCTGAGCACCAGGGAACTATCGCCAGTTGCTGTTTCTTTTCCATGCACTTTACCCCAAACACCAGCAACGGTGATTGACAAAAAAGCAGCAACTTGGCTATCTGGGCTGTTGGGGGGGAGCTTTCCCTTCCCACCTGGGTGCGGCTCAAAATTCAAGAGCTTGGGTTACAGTTTGGTCTTAGTCTTTGGTTCCATTTGCCAAGGGTGCCAGTTTGGTACGTGTTTTTGAGCCACAGCCACCTTCCCCGCCTACGTGGCGGGGGGGAAGCCTTGCGCGGGCGCGCGCAGGCGACGGCGACGGGATCGGAGGCCTCGGCCCGGCGTGGGGGCAGCCGCAGCCCCTCGGTGGCCAGCGCCATGTGAGCGGGCCGAAACCGAAACGGAAAGAGTCCATCGTTGGGCCACTTGAGTAGCTGTTTAGAATACCTGGTCGTTTTTTTTTGTTGTTGTTTCCTCTTCTTTTATTAGGTAGCTGTTTAGAATACCTGTTGTTTTTTTTTTTGTTTCCTCTCTTTTTTTTTTTTTAAAAAAAAAAATGTTTTTCAGAAGGGGCGGACTAAATATAACAGATAGTCAGAACAGTTTAGTTTCCGTGCACAGATGTGCGCCATGTTATGGTATAGTAGAGCCTATATTTACACCTTAGCCAGGAGCAAAAAGTCATGTGACGCAGCGACTCATGAGCAGCCGTGGGTACTTCCGTTCCTGCCGGGTTTTTGCATTGGGCCTAGGAGCTACCTTGATGGCTAATAGGGGCATTGCAGATATGAACCTTTAGCACTTGAAGCTAGGCTTGTTGGCAACTTTGGTGGTGGGTGGTTCCTCTGCCTGGTTGAATCGGAGTTGTTTGTAGTGTTTATGAACTGCTTTGAATTCATCTGAAGGTTTGTTTTCTATGGGGGTATAGCAAGGCCTTGTGGTGGAGGTGACAGTGTGTTCTGGGGGGGGGGGTAGTTGGTGGTTCGCTCCGACTTGGTTTCATTGGCGCTGTAGTGAGGGCTATACAGACGAAAGCAACAGCTACTTGGCTTACCACGGTCATAGCATTTGCATTACTTGGGTCAATGGAGGCCATGATAGGGCCTGTAACCTGCATCATATGATACAAGTAAGTCCTTGCAGACCCCGGTAGTGCCCTTTTACCCTTTGTTGGGGGAGGGTTTCCCTACTGAAGTAGACTACAGAAAAAGGGTACCCTTATTCTAACCTCTCTACGAAAGGACCCAGTTTATTGCCATGTTGCTTTCCATCTTTGGGCGCTGCTCATGCGACGCTTTGGCCTGCGAAGCGCAAATGCTGAAAAGCGCCCGTCAGCTGGGCGGAAGTAGTCTTTCGAACGTGCACTGCGAGAAAAAGTGGTTTATGGTTTGGGCGTGCGTTTTCAAGGGTTCGAGGGTGGCACTTCCCCAAACGCTCCAAGTGTGCCCTTTGTCCCCCTTTTCTGGAAGGGTTCTTCTTCAAATTTAAACCAACTAGTTCACATTCTGTACTTCGAACAATCCCGACCTAAGAAATTGCTTGGCCAAAATAGACTGCAACCACGCAGGCGCCCAGCTGCGCGCGGCGCCTCAAGCATGCTACTAGCGAAAATGGCAAAGCAACTCAGTCGAACCAACATGGAAATATTGGAAACAAGGCAGCTTTGACCCCAAGTCAACTGCACCCTTAGCAGTTACGGTACGCTTCTTGTTTAGTGGAGGCCCTTCATCCAGGGCACACCTGTCTTCGAGGGACCAAGATCGAACGGGGGTGGCAGAGCACAGTTCCAAGGGTGCCACATCCAAGAGAAAAGGTCGGGCTCAATCTTCCTCATCCTCCTCCAAAAATGCAGCCTTAAACGTAAAGGGCCCCTTCCCAATTGGTCAGCTTCAACCCCCATTTCAATGGCAAGGACCCATGAAATTGAGTAAATAGTGGCTAGGTCCCCCAGTGCTCTTTTGCCCCTTTTTTTGGGGAGGGCTCGGGACCCTACTAAAATGGACAGAAAAAATCTGGGGCAGCTTTATTTTAACCTTTTAACCTCCAAAACTGGAGGACCTAGGTGGTGTACTTCATGGTGATGCTCCAATGGCCAGGGAATCCCATACTTTGGATGGACAAAATCCTGCACCACTTGGAAACCATGGGAAACCATTGTTCATTGGTATTTACAGGGGAATCATCATTCCAGGCTTTCTTAGGTGGTGCCTAAGAGGATTTTGTCCATCCACAGTAGGCCTTGCTCCGGCAGGTGACGGGATTGGGCTGATCCGATCCGATCCGATTCCCCTCGCGCAGGACCGCACGCCTGCAGTGTGCATGTGCCTGCTCGGCTGCTACGACGCCATGAGCAAAAACCTGGGCCACAAGGTGGGGCCGCGCCGGATTTCGGGTTGCCTTCTTCCAACAAGGGGTTGTAACGTAACCCAACCATTCGACGGGCAGTTCTTCTACTTGAAGCCCCTTCTAAAAATACTCGCGCCTACCTCCGGGGATCATTTCGACCATGTCACTTTGATGGACCCACTTGTTGAGCATTTGTTTTGGGGAAGCCTCCCTTTGTTTGCTAGCTTTTGAAGGGAAACCCTCATTTGGGCGTTCGTTTTTCAGGGTAGGGCCAGCCCTGGCGCAAAAAGCAAAAAACACACACACACAAACACCCCCGTTGCGACACATTTTCCGGTCTGGGCGGATGGCAGATGACTGCGGAGCGGATCCTGCCGCTGATGATGCCTTTGCTCGGGGAGGAGGGCCTCTCCTTCGAGCAGCGCGGAAGCCCGGAGTGCTTGGGCGCTGACACACCCCTTTTTCGGGCGTGCCTGAGGAATCAGGAACTTTCATGTTCAAGATGGAACTGGAGGGTGACCCCTGAAGGTGCATGAAGAGAGAAGTCTTGGATATCTGTGAATGTTCATGGAGAATCTCGATAGTGTGACATTTGTTTCCCGAATTCTGATGTCCATTGAATTAGCATTCATGCACATACAGCCTTGAAGGGACAGCCCCAAAGCTTGTTCACAGCCAACGCAACAACTCGCCATAGGTTTGGGGCGTGAAGATCCGCTAGATAAATACGAGGACGGTTTGCACAGATACGCATGGATTCGGACTGGGAAGCCTCATTTCGACCCTCGCGGCCGTGTCCCAGACCAAATCCGAGCAACGGGGCTCCAGTTGGTGGTCGGCTGGATTCCGTGGCCCTACCGCAGATCCGGGCAAGACAGGGTAGGTAAGCCCCCTAGGCTTCCAAAGGCCATTAAAAGAATGGTCGAGGTTGCTAGACTGTTTTTTGCCGAAAGACTGTTTTTTGCGCCTGGCCCTGAATATCCAAAAAATAATTTGTTTTTGTTGCCCAAGAATTGCTTAGGGTCAGGTCACTGAAAGTCACGCCGCCCTCATCCTCCCAGCTGCAAATGACTGCACCCAAGCCACTCATTCCCCGGCTTGCCAAATGTATGGTCGCATCACTTTTCAAAATCGCCAGGTGTCCCGCCTACTGTAGAGGCGTGCATAGATTTTTCGCATGTTGGTACTGAAGTCCGGCTTTTTTGAAAAATGCTGCAATCTTAGTGGCTTCGGGGCATCGCTGCCGATCAAACATGCGTTGTTGGCTCCTGGGGGTATGGTTGTCCACGCTTTTAAATGTACTTTCCACGCTAAAAAACGTACTTTCCACGCTAAAAAACGTACTTTCCACGGTTTGTCCATGGTTTGTCCACGCCTCATTTTTCGAAAACGATTAATCAATCAACAAACAACACGCGATCAGACTCTGTGGAGCTGTGGACAAGAAGTGGAAAAACACGCACGGGCATGTGAGGGACAAGCCATATTGACACAGCATGGTGACGGCGTGTGATTACAACGGGATGAAGCGACTGTAAAACATACTGAGCTAATTTCATAAAAGGCGGCAATATAGTTCTTCAACCTCTCACTGCACGGAAGCGCGTGGGGATGTCAGGAGCCAGCCGTCTCAAGTTGGACAAGTTTGTCTAGACCTACTTTTAATGGTCGAGGGACATTACTTTTATAGCCTTTCGTTTTTTAAATGGTCGAGGCTATTTAAAGAATAGTCGAGGAAGCACAGGGAAGCCTTTGATCTATCCGTTTAATCTTCAAACTAGTTCGCTTGATGGTAAGTTGCCTCTTTCCCAGTTTTTCGGTCTCGCCAAAGAAAATGGTGAAGCCACCAGTCGCCCACACAATTTGCCTGTGCAAACAGCCATTCCAGACCTTGTGTTCCGCGCAGCTCTTCGGGTTCCCTTTGTTTTCCACCAAGGCTCGGATTGACCCAGACATGGAGAAGTTTTCTATCTTGAGGGAGTTTTGGGCCTCTGAATGCGCAGAGGCCCGTGGCGCAATGGCAGCGCGCCCCAATGGTGGCATTCCCAATGCCCCATGGGGAGTTCAACCCCCTCGGAGCCTGAACTCTCAAATTCTCCATATTTTCAGCACGCGCAGTTCTGAAATCCTTTGGAAAGGCGGCAACAAACCAGCAACTCACAATTTGCGAAGAGGGGCCGGGACCCTCAGATAATTTTGGTGAATGTCCCATTTTGTTGGAGGTAGTTGGGTCCAGGGTGTTCCTTGGCCCAGTGTTTCCATTTCTCATAGGTCCCTTGGGTATGTTAGCTCAAGGTACAGATGGTTTTGCCCCTGGACCTGTAACTGGAAGCACTGGGCTTGACTGCTATTGGGTTGGATCTTTAGACTTTCACTTTTTGGTTGAAATCAAGTTTTTTTGCAGGGGGGTCGTTGCAGCAACCAAGCTGGGGTCCAAACCGTTTTGGGATCCAATTTTTGGTAGGAGAATTCACCCACATGTTAGAACCTATTTTAGTGGTTGGATTGGTTGATGTTCACTGGGCAGGGGGGTCTTTCCCATAGGTCACCCTTGGGTATGTTAACAGGTACATGATGTTTTTTCCCCCGGACCTGTGGAAGCTCTGGAAACACTGGGCTCGAACTTTCAGGTGGGAGACCCAGCTCTCTGTGGCCAAGAAGCTGATGCAACGGGCCCGGGTCGCCTGGTGTCCCCCAGAACGCCCCGGCTTTTCCACCGCGAGGTCGCGCCCTGAAAAAAACGAACGGTAGCTGGACAGGGCTCCTTAAAAGATACATTTTGCAATCATTTGAAACATGGCTTTTTCCACCAAAATAAAGGGAATCCACCATTTGCAAGGCAATGTTCAGGTGTATACTGTAATGATCCCTACTGGACCCTCAAGTTACCCTTTAAATTTGATAGTGTCCCGTGTTTGAGGATAGTTTGACAATCCTGGTGCCATGAAACACATTTCTTTCAGCGTATGCGCTTAAAAAGAGGGTACGCAGAGTAGAGATTCCCCCGGAAAGGTTGCCTCTTGCAATGCTTTACTGGGCCCCTGCTGGTTGCCAGTTGAGGGAGACCCGTTCTCAAAATGAGCGGCGCG